TGTGTGTGTGTGTGCGTGTTTGTGTGTGTGTATGTGTGCGTGTTTGTGTGTGTGTATGTGTGCGTGTTTGTGTGTGTGTACACGTGTGTGTGTGAAGAAACACGTAAAGTATGCCAACTGCTGCATATCGCTGCACGCCTCGTTCGATTTACGTCTGAGTTTCATACTTCGAATCGCTAGTTGTTTCCCATACCTGTTTGTTGAATTCAGTGAGTGAAGCTAATTCCGCCCTTACTTCAGCCCCTTTCTCTCTACTTGTTTTCTTCGGCATATTTGCTGTGGATGCGCACCTTGGTCGCATGTGCGATATGCACAAACGGAGGTTGCTAACTCTTGCCAAGTGACTGTGGTTTCTGATGGGCAACATGATGGGGTTCAAACTTTCAAGACAATACACTGAAGGGAATATTACGTTCAGCAAGATTGCCTTAATGTAACTTTAATCTGTCTATATTCCTAGCGAGAAATTCTGTTGTACGTAATAAATAGTATATATTTATGTATTGTGAGATCTATTCATCGGTCTTCACATACACCCACGTGCATCGAGATACACCCTGGTGACTGGTCCTGGACCTCAGTCGGCTCAGTTAGTACCATCGTAGCAACTATACTCTCCCGCCAAAAGTAGTAGCCCAGCTGATTTAGGAGCTCAGCTCAAAAGCCTTTTTCTGCTGATGACTCCTCTGTGTATAAATATTGTCATATTTAAATATAAAAATGTAGCCTTACATAGCCTTCTTCTATAATGTTCTAAAACTGAGGCACAAAATACATAGCTTCTATGGGTTCTAAAAATGAGATGTATTTAAAAGCGGGTCACAAGTGACCATAGTTCATTTGATAAAGGTACCACAAGAAGGCTACGAAATATATAGTACTAATCTGTGACAGCTGTGACAATGGATTCGGTGGAGGATTTCAAGCACGCTCCTATGAAATGGAAGGTCATCTTGGCCATAGACTTGGTAGTGTTATTGAGTGACATCATACTAATGGCAGTTCTAGGTCCCAATATAGATAGCCCGCTCTTATGGGTGTACTCCGGTATAGCTCTGCTCTGTGCGATTTTGATTCCTATCGGATACTTCTTGTCCCGCAAGCAACGCAAGGCAAAAGCAACTTCAATGGTGGATTTCCAGTCGGAACTGATCTGTGAAAGGTTTGTTTCTTATCATAACTGTTGTCGGTGATCTGGATTCTTGTCAGCTATATGGTATTCAACCTATACTACAATATTTCTTGAATCACTGAAATTGCAGAAAAGCTTTCTATAGTAGACATTATCATCTCTTCTACATATATAACTGTTGGTGGGTGGGAATGTATATGTATATGTATATATATACAT